CAAGCTTGAATCCCTAAACAGAGCTATGTTAACATAAAAACCCTTCAAATACAGAAAGAAAAATGGAGAAATGATAGGGGGAATTATTAAAACTAATAATATTGTACGTTTCTATAGCACCTCTCATCCCACAGCACTTCACAGATGATGTATACTCAGTACCGCTGAAATGCGGCCAACTCTGGGGTGGAGAACGATAGCCAGCGGCACACAGAACAGGAATTTTGGCCAGGATCCCAGAGAGGGGGAAGGGGGCACATGCTCTTAAAAAAAGCACCAAGGGAGCATTAACATCCTCCAAGCACAGGCAGAACAAAGGTTTCATCTGAAAGACCCAGCACAGCTTTATCCTCCTCCAAAGGATGAAGGGCTGAGACAATTCTGCCAGGATTTCCAGGGCGTCTATGTATTTCAACCTTGATACTTATAACTGCAAGTGATCCCTTCCAGCAAAGGCAGCTTCAAACATTGCACCAGATGGCACTCCTCTAATCCGGTCACCTAATCCTGTTACACGAGAGCTGCTGTGGTTACAATTCCTAACTACCCTGCCAAGAGTTGATGGCCAAGCCCCGGAAATCCCGGATGCCACCGAAAACCCAGACCGGAGATATGACTTCCAGTCAATACAGGAGTTTGGAGCATATATGGTGCTGGCTCCCATGAGGGCACCAAGGAACGTGCAGAGATCCCTGAACTTTACAGGAACTGAGGGGAAATCCCAACTCGTGGGAGACACGTCCCACGCAGCCAGACAGAGGAACACCTTGAACATAGGCAAGGAGCAGGCAAGGCTGAAGGTGACGAATTGAGAAGCAGGCAGACGACATCCTGGGAAAATGGAGCATTGTAGCACAAAGCACTGCCCTGACTTGGTATCTCCAGATAGGACTTGTGTTTGCCACTCAGTGGGCAGCTGCCATGGCCTTGGGCAGCTCCTGAGAGAGCCTGCAGGTGTCCAGCCTGGCATCTCCCAGACAGCTCAGGAGCGGGCAGCCCGATCTGAATTGGCACCGATAGGCTGTTCACCGATAGGACAAAACCCATAAGGTCCTTCCAGCTGGGGTATGTCCGTTCCCTAGCACCGAATGACTAGTACATTGTCCAGTCTTGTTTTAACTGTTCCAAGCAATGGGGCATTCTTCCCTTCCTCCGGGACCCGATTCCATCGTCTCACTGTCAGGAAGTTTCTCTGGGCATTCACCCTACATTTTCCCTTTCTTAATTCATCTCCTTCCTCCCCCCCCCCACACACTTCCCCTGGTTCTACCCTTCATGCCAGCCTATGTCATCCCTCATCCTCCTCTCAAATAGTTGCAAACTTGTCTCCCCACTGGGGGCCATCACCACAATAGGCATTTCCATGCTTTCCTCGCAGGTGCCTTAACCTCTCGGATCATTTCTCTTGCTCTTCTCTGAAGTCCCTCCAGTTTGTCCATAACCTTCTGATCACCAGGGGTGCAGAACTGAACACTGTATTCCCCAGGGGAATGAAAACGTGATCTCTTTTAAACCGGTGTTAGGGTCACAGTCATTTATTGTTACTACTAAATTATGCTGTGGGCCAGAGCCTCAGCTGGTGTGACGCAACACTGATGAGCGTGCGTTCCAGGGCCCAGGGCTGTGTCTGATCCACAGGGAAAATTAATCTGTGATAATGCCCCTTAGAAAGCTTTAGCTCAAGCCGTAGCAGCTCACGCTTTTAGCTCAAGAGATTGGCGGTTCAGTCATTGGCGTGTCGGCCAAGACTGGGCTGTCACAATATCCAATTTACCCCAGCTGAGAATCTGGGCCTATATTTATGAACACAAAAATGATGAAAAATTAATACGACCTGAGGCTGGAGCCCAGCTGTGCCGGTGTCACTCTGAGGAATGCAAATGCACCCTCAAGAAAACCCTTTCTCTGGGATGTCAGTTGCAGGAGTTGGGGGACAGCTGCCCCTGAGCCAAGCCACAAGCTGTAACAGGACCACCACTGCATAGCTGTGAGTGACTCTTACTGACTCTTCTTCTCAGCAGGGGCCCCCAGACTGCTGGAGCTTGTTACTTTCCCATCTCCAGACGCTTTGCACCCATCAATCCCTGCAGAGTAGTTCTCAAAGGCTTCTGTGTAACGAAGGGCCTGACCAACACAACTGAGACGTTGATCTGGATTCAGACCCTCCAAGTTCAGAGATGCCTGGATCTGGCATTTTGGTTTGGTCCATTAGAGGGATAGGGATCCGGTGTGAAATCTGGATCCAGTCCAGCTCTGGATTCCAGCTCCTTCTCCAACACTTCAGGAGGATTTAGTTCCAGAGTCCTGTCTTGGGACCAGTTGTATGCCGGCGGGGGGAAACGGGGGCCAGGCAGCATCAGCACCAGGTGGTAGCAAAGACAAATGGGTTCAGATCCTTTGGAGACATGGACAAGGGGTCAGCCCTCTGAGGAGGGTGAAGAGGATTTATTCTTCAGGGAAAGGCCGGAGCGGCGTGACTTTGGGCAAGGGGACAGTTATACTTGGTGGCAGAGGTGGGACTCTCCTAAGGAGAGAGGGGAAGGGAGCAGCACCTGAAGGGAAAACTCATTTTCCCCAGGGACTGCCTTGGTTCTGTACGCTATTTACAGATGGAGAATTTTTGCCCCTTGGTCACTGGAGAGGGTTATGAGGCCATTAAAAGGCATTGTAAGCATCATGGAATGATGGGTCCAATTCCTGACCCAGCCCTAGTGGTTGGAGGGAGACCCAAGGCAGCAGTGAGAACCATCACTGCTGTGGGGAGTGGGGGCTGACAGGGGCCCACTGGGAAGAGCACTGAAAAGGAGTGGAATTGGGAGGAAGAGAATAGATGGGGCCTGGAAGAAGTGGCGGGGCTGGACGGAATGGTGCCTCAAAGCCTAGGTGCCTCTGGGCCCAATTTAATGCACCCGTGACCCCAATTAGCTGTTTACAGTCCCACAACGTCACCCTCTTCCTGCCGACTCCGCATTCACTTCCGAGGCTATGGAAATCAAGGGCTTACTATAAGCATCATCAACCCCCTCCCCACCTGCGCCCCCCCCACCTGCTCCTGGGACTGTAAGAAGCCCCAGAGTCTCTTCACCCGTCTCTCTAGCCTGGTCTTGTATCCAACAAGCAGCAGAGCTGTGGGGTCAGCTGGCGTCATTCCAGGATCCCAGCTCGGACATGGAGACCGCTCCCAGCAGAGAGGACAGGCATGTCCCCTGGGCCTGCGAAGGCAGCGGGCAGATGGAGGGACAGAACAGATGACAGACAGACTACTGATACCTAGAAATATCTGTTAAACAGACCACAAATCCCTGCCCCCCCCCGCAAGCACTCAGGGGTCAGATTAAAGTTCACTGCGATGGCTGGGATGTTTATGGGTTTTCAAAACACTATATAAATAAGACAGGGAAATGCCTTGCACCCATTCATCATGGGCTGTGACAGCTGCCTCTCAGGGCGTGCCCAGCTGCGTCTGAGCGCAAGGGAGCTGCAATGGGAGCTCTCTGCATGGCTTTGGTGCCTGCTCCTCACAGCCTGCCTGAAGCCAGCCCCTGGGGCAGGAGTGTGAGCTGGGCATGGAGTCAGGGCAGATCCCACAGAGCAGATTCCTGGCAATGTGGTCAGAGAGAGGGTGTGTTTTCCAGACCCCAGGACTAGGAATCAGGACGCCTGGCTTTTGGTCCCAGCTCTGCCACTGACTGTGGGCAACTCACTTAACTGCTCCATGCCTCAGTTTCCCCATCTGTCAAATGGAGATCATAATACTGATTACTCACTTCTGAGGGTGTTGAGAGGCCGCATTAATAGCTGAAGCTGTCAGAGCCTTGCATGAAAGGGGGCAGAGGATCATTGTTATAACCCAGGCTAGCTTATCCCCTCTCAGTTCCCACTACAGCTGTGAAGGCTAAAGCCAGCGACCATCATCCATTTGCAGGATTCAAGGAGCCAAACAAGATTTCCACGCAAGGAATGTGTCTGCAGGAGACGATGCCCAGGGCTGGCAGGGCTCCACAGAACTACAGCCTGCCAAGTCTCTCTCTGTCTGAGTTCACACCTGAGGTTACAGGTGTGAGACAGAAATGTTAACTGGGAGCCGCTAGGACATGCGCTCCGGGCTTATCACGGGGCAGGCCTGCAGCACCATGAACACAGGAATTTCCAGACTGGACCAGACGGCGGGGCGGCCGGGAGGGGGGCGGGGGGTCCATTGGCTCCAGGACCTTGTCTCTCTCAGTCAGTGGCCAGTAGCTAATGCTCCAGAGGCAGGCGTAAGAACCCCAGAAGGGGCATTTAACAAACAAGCAGCCGGCAGGGAAGTTTATTCCTGACCACAGGTAACTGGAGGCAGGCGGGTTTCTACACCTTGTTTTCCAGCCCACGGTTCCTGTGGAGGTTCTGCTGGTTGTGGGAGTTTCTATTATTAAACTTGTGCCGGAGGGGTTTATAGCTCAGTGCCCATTAGATAACACAGGGCTCTTAGCCGAAGGGCACAGGCCAATGAGACTGAACAGGAGCAGCCAAGTTCAAATGACATTAGCTGCCCGACTGGAGCTGCCAGGAGATTCAGCCTCACCCATCCTCAACCCACCCCCTTTTACGTGGGCGCCCACACTCCAGCAACAGGGACGAGAAGGTGGGTCACAGACGGAGCTTGGGCCTGGGCTGGGCATCTCCTGCCTTGGCTACGATGGCATATCGGGCATGCTCTGCCTGTGACAGGCACCCAGGGGACCTGGCATGCGTCCAGCCGCTCCCCTGCGGCCAGGGAGCAGGGCAGGAGCAACCTAGCTCAGGGTCCCGTCCTCCCAGGGCCCAGGCAGATGGGGCCCCGGCAAGCCAGCCTGCAAAGGCATCGCAGCAGATCGATGCAAAAGGTCGGGGGGAAAGAAGGGGGTGTCCAGGTGGCTCAAATCCTGGGGGTTGGCCCCTGCTCCCGGCACGGGGAGGGTTTGCTGCCCCAGCCCCCCAGGTCCCAGCCCCAGCCCCAGCAGGAAAGGAAAGGCTCTTACTGGTTTGGGTTTCTTTCTAGGGGTCAGGCTGTCATAGAAAGTCTTGGCTTCCTCCCAGCGCTGCGGCGTCCCGGCCTCCTGGCCACCCGCGGACGAGCCCTCCCCAGCGGCGGCCGGCTCCATCTCGCCGGCCCGGAGCGCGAGCGGCTGCGCTGCTGGGTCTCCCCGGGACGCGGCGCGCGCCGCTCGGCTGGGCGGGGGCGCTTTATAGGGGCCGCCCGCCCTGCGCCGAGATCGCAGGGGCCAGCTGGCTTAACCCGTGCGGCGCTGGAGCCTGCCGGGCTCTTCCCGCAAGCCGGGCGGCAAACCAGCGCCGGGCCGGGCTGCGCCTCGGGGGACCGGCGCTGCAGACCCGGGCAGGGCCCCCCCGGCTCGTCCTTCGGCGCCCCGGGCAGGGCACCTGGCTGGGACTCAGGCCGCCTGGGTTCCCCGGCTGGGTCCGCCCCGGTGTGACTTCGGGCCAGTCACCTGCTGCCCGTGCCTCTGTTTCCCCTCTTGAGATCCGCGGTACTCAAGCGAAGGCTTTGGAGGCGCTTTAATGGGTCTCCTGCGGCTCTTCGCAGCACACGGTATTCAAAGGACCTTGAGTGGGTATCTGGCACTCGAGTATCTGAAGCCATGAATTCACACCACGGGGGGGGCCCTTTGGGGTAATGCTGATCGCTGATTTGGCTCCTGAACCCCTGAGGTCCGAGTATGGCTGCTTTAGACCGTAAGCCCACGGACTCTTTTATTATGTGTATGCACCGCACCTAGGCCCCTGGGGCCTTGATCCCTGTCGGAGCCCCTGGGGGCTACAGCAATAACTTTGCCCTTCTTTTTATCTGGGACATAGATGCTGTTCAAGGGAGAGGGGTGCAAGGGTAGTCGGGGCGCTAAGAAAAGACATACCCCCCGAGATCTGCAAAGGTATTCGGGCTTCTAACCTCGACTGGAGTCAATGGGAGTTAGGAGCCTAATTAACCTTTGAAGATCTAAGCCAAGGCCCCTGCCCCGAGGAGCTAACTCAGAGGCTGCAAATCAGTGCAGGAGGTTTGGCAAATGGAGTGCGTTTTAAGGAAAGATCCCGAGTAAGTGAGGAAGGGTGCCTGGGGATAGGAGGGTGCTCCCAAAATCGAGGATGGCAGGAAAGATGGCTCAAAGCTGAGAGTGGGGGAAGGAGGCAAAGGGAAGGGATAGAAGAGGGGGTACAAAGGAGCGGGAGGGATGAAATGGTAATAATAAAACCTAACTCTGTATAGTGCTTGTCGTCAGTCGATCCCCCAATGCTTCACCATCTTTAATGTATTTATCTTCACACAACCCCTGTGAGCAGGAGAGTTATCCCTGATGTGCAGACAGGGAACTGAGACTCAGAGAGGTTAAGTGACTTGCCCAAAGTCACACAGGACATCTGTGGCAGAGCTAGGAATTGCACCTGAGCCTGCCAAGTGCTGGGATATGGCCTTAACCATTTAGGGTGGAGTTATGCAAAGCCCTGCAAGAGAAGAGGAGCTTCCATTGGGTGCTGCAGCAGAGAGGGTGTTGGTGCAAGGACTGCCAGGGTTGGAGCCCTGGGAGAGGAAGATGAGCTAAGCAGTGACATTTTGGGGAGATGAGATGCAGGCAGGTTGTGCTAGTCAAGGCATAAGGGGTGGAGAGAGGAAAGGTTGGAATCTAGAGGATGGATGAGGCAGGAAACTAGAATTTGGCAAGGGTCTATCTGGGGGCAGCAGAGAGGAACCCCACATTGTGAAGCTGGGGGCCAGGGAGGGTGATGGAGTTCTTGGCAGTGACGGAGACCTGCCCACCTTTAGATAAGCTGATGAAGGGCAGGTTTAGTCCTGCTGGTGGACTGCAAATCACCCAGAGTAGTTGCTGCAAACCCAGTGCTGGGTAAATGTCAGGGAGACTTGAAACCCCGGTGGGAACGGCGTAAGTTCATCATCCTCCAGCAGGCTACTCGGGGACAAACAGATCCACGGCTTGGCAGCCTGAGATGGAGACACTGCAGTGCACTCAGCAGGATTCACCCACTCGTCCTCTGAGTCCCTGCAGGGGGGACCATAGCTGTGCATTAGTGAATGGAATTATTAATCTTACTCATTAGCTAATAAATCATCTCCCAAGTGGATTCATTTGTATAACCCAGCCCCTCTGAGTGAAGTCGGAGGCCCAACTGTAACTGCTAAAAACACCTTTTGGGACAAACTGTAAAAGGAAACCCTTTGCCCTAAATGCAAAGCCCAGAACCCACTGAATCCAGGCTGCAGAGCAGCAGGAGGCTGACCCCCCCCCCCTCGCTGAACACACGATAAAAGAAAGCAGCTTCTGCTTCAACGTTATCTGAAACGGCAAACGCCCCTTTATTGCAAAGCCTGGAACCGATCCACACCCTAACCCGCCCCTGGAGAGGGTCACTGCAAAGGCTCTGCTGAGCTGAACCTTCAGACTAGAGCTGGTCAGAAAAATTCAGACGGAAGTTTTCCATAGGAAAATGCTGTTTCCCTGAAATCAAAATGTTTCCCAGGCACCTGTCGACTTTGGTGAACCGTTAGAAAAGTTTCAAAATCAAAGTGGAGTGTTTCATTTCAACTTCCGCGTTTACACTATTTATTATTGGATCGTCATCATATATAACATTCTATATTATGCTGTAACATTTCATTTCAACAGTTGTTTCAAGGTTTCTAAATCAAAATGCTTTAGACTCTTCCCTTCTGTGAATAGTTCAACCTTTTGTCCAGATTTGGGACAAAACAAATTTCAAAAGGTCAGAATTTTCCACGGGACAGAAATCCCATTTTCTGCCCAAGTCCACTTCAGACCAAGGGAGCCAACAACCTCCCCCTAAACTAAATGATCCTCAAGGCGCTAGATCAAGACCTGTGAAACAACCGTATAGGAGTCACTGGGAAGAACAGATCAAAACCAACAAACCAGGCTGTTAGGGACACCTGGGTGGCCCAGCAGCCTCATCACAGTGAAATGTGTAGAACTCAAACCAAATACAGAATCAGGGCCCGTCCATTAGGGATGGAAACTGAACATCACAAAGCACAACCCTGGCAGGAAGGCACGAGGATGAGAGACAACACCCCACCACACAGCAACCTGCTACTGGATCAGTCAAAATGGGCTATGGTGACAAAGAGACCCAGCGGATAAGGCCCCCAACCCCGTGGGCAGCGCCATGCTGGGTGAATTGTATTGGTCTCTGACAGGACCCTGAGGGTGTTGGCCTATTTACACTTTGGCAGCCATGAGGAATTTTAGTCAGGACCCCCACTCATGGACTTTGAGTGTAGCAAGGGACTGTTGTCAAGGATCCCATCCTCTCCCTTAGAATGGGGCACTGTCCTAGTGCCAGGACTCACCCTTTCTGCCTGTGAGATGCAACAAGGTCCTTATATATGCATTTTGCACAATATTTCATTGAGCAATTAAGGGTTCATTTTCAGAGCTGATTGCCCAGGGGCTAATCAGACCAGCAGGTGCCTGCTCTCTTCTTGTTAGCTAGAAGCACCAGGGAATGGACAAAACCCAAGACACTGTTGCATCTCATGTTCTAACTGGCACCTAAGGCTGGGGACAATGGTGCTGCACAGGGTGTTGCTGGAGAACATCACTGGCTTCAGAGCTGGCTCCCGTGCTGTGTTGATCCTGAACTGCTTGGAAATCCTCTCCGTTTGGTAACAGTTTGCCTTTGACAAAGGACCCCAGGAAGTGCTTTGCTAGTCTCCATACACAGCAACTACACCAGTGCAGGAGTGGGAGGGTGGCCACTGAGAGAAGAAGCTACTTCACCATCCCTCCTGGAACAGATCCAGCTATTCCAGGCCAAGGCTTAAGTTACTGCCCTTTCTAATAGCATCTCTGGCTCGTTACCAGGATCAAGGTCTGGGGCTTGCACACAGAATAATACGGTTGTGTGATCTGTACAGTTTCTCCTTCCCCAGACACTTGCAGAGCTACCCCCACATGGAAAGTTCAAGGCAACCCCATCTAACTGACCTCATCCCCCGATACGCTCAGGAGACTATTTTGTTGGGGCAAAGCTTTCAAGTTCCCCTGACCCCGTCCCCGACTCGTATTCATGCCCAAAGCTTTTGTAACTGCAGCCCACCCGTGACCCAGACAACTGGCCAGGCGAAGGCACCCACTGTGACCTGCAAGCAGCCTGCGGCCCCCTTTGGAAATCTTAGGCATAGTGTGCGGATCCCCAGGGTTCACGCATCACAGCTTGAAAAACAACGGATCTAACTCCCGTCTAGGTGACGGTGGGAAAGGCGCCGGAGTCCCATCTACACTAGGGCGGCCAGCTGCACTACTGCCAGTGGAATAACTGGAGAGTTCCTGAAAAAATACCACTGGCGCCCAGGCTTGGCCATTTCTCTTCTTCGACTGTACACGCCCCGGGGCAGCGACTCAGCCCCTCTCAGGATCAGGCCCTTCGTCGCCCAGCCCCGCACACGCTGTTGGAACTGAGCAAGAAAGGAGGGCGGCAGTCGGGGGAGAGCGGGGTTTGCCAAGTCAGCCTGCCTCAGTGCCTCAAAGCGTGGCTGAGCACCCACGCTGCGGGGAACCCTGTGGGCACTTTGCTGCTGAAGACGTGCCAGGACCTTTTTTTTTAAAAAAATAAAAGTCTTTTAAGATGCTAATACAACAAGAGTTCCCTAGCAACCGGGGCTCAGTCATTATCTTAACAAGTATGTGATGGGGGGGGGGGTGGGAATGGGGGAAAGAAGAGATCAAAACAGAAGGAAGAATGAGGCAGCCAAGGGAAGGAGACTGAAAAGAAGGAAGGGGAACAAAAAGGCTGGGGGGGGGGGGAAGAACTGCAGAGCCTGGGGATGGCTCACCAATGAGCAATGGAGTCTTCCCCCACCCTCGCTTATAGCTATTTATAGTGTAGTCGTGCCTAGGAGTCCCAGGTAGAGTCCAGGCCCTGCTGTACTAGGTGCTGTACATACAAGAGCACTGTTCTCCAGCCCAGGTTAGCAATGACTGGGTAGGGGTACCATGCAGTGGCAGTCTGGTAGCCCCCCTGGGAGAGGAGTTTGCTGGGTCTCCATCCAGTTCCCAGGGGCCCAAGGACAACCGGCCCACTCCTAGCAAGCTCAGCAGAATGCCTGTGCTGGGGCCCTTCCTGCCTTGGGGGGGGGGGGGTGGGCACATGACGATGAGACTGGCATCATCTCTGGCC